GCCGGGGAATAATCTGGGCGGCAGCGGGCGGCCCCGGCTAGCGGCCACGGGCCACTCCTGCAGCTGCCGAGAAGAGCGAAGGTCGCCGGTCTCGTGTCGTCCCCTTCTCTGCCCCCCAGGAGGGGCGAGAGGGAGCCGCGGCTGATGTCAGGTACGGCCGGCGGAGGCGCCCTCAGACTGCAAGTCCAAGGTCTTGGTTCCCCTTGCCCTCCCCCTCTCGGAGTGTGTTGGGGAGCGTGGAGGGTGGAACCAAACCCCCTGTGCGGCCAAACAGGTGTCTCGAAGTCGCTGCCGGGCTAGGGACGTGCCGGCTCCTGAGGGCAGCGCGGGGCACTTCCTGCTCCCGGCGCTCTCCGAGCTGCCATCGGGTCTGCCCGCCCACCGGGCCGCTATTTTGTTGACATGTTGTCTCCACTTCATTGTGGGTCCTTCTTTTTTGCCCTCTCGCGCCTCTCTCCTACTCGCGCGCTGCCGGTGGTCTGGCGGCGACGGTGACGCACGGACTGCGCCCCGGGTCGCGGCAGGACCACTTAGCGGTCCTGTTCTACAGGGCCCTCCTCGCCCCCTTCGAACCTGTGGGTTGGGCGGGACACGTTGCTCAGGTGTGGGCACCTTTCGCGATAGTAGTCGGACTGCCGCGCCACCCGAGTGCCCAGCGTGTTGGCACCTTCTACAAGTGCCGGGGACTTCCTTCGGACTCTTTTGGATCATCAGGTTTGTCTGTGACTAATTTATTATTTAAAGTTTCCCCAACCCTGCCCAATGAGCAAGCCTGATGTGCTTTGGGCACTTGCTGCGTGGGGAAGGAGCAAGAAAAGAGCCTCCCGTCCCCCTGTGTGATTTGGTTAGTAGATGTTGGCGAGTTGGCCATACAGCTTTGAATCTGGATAAATTACATACTTTTAAAAGATGAACCTGATTTAGGGGTGGGGATTTATTTTTGCCCCTTATTTTTAAAAAAATAACAGGCAAAACACAACACACACACTGCGGGGAAGTTGACTATGATCTAGTTCTCTGAATTTGTTATAGGTATAGTGGTATATCTTTTTAACGCTTTTCACATTGGAAACTATTGCGCTAATTATGAATTGATTTCATTATGGATTAAAAGTTAGTTATAAAGTTAGAACTTTAATGCATCAGAGAGAATAATTAGGCCAATGTTTAAGGGGCAGAAATATGTTCGTTTACTAAAAGTTGGGCATAGAACATAGCTCTGCCTGAGTGCCAGGAAAAAGTGTTGTGCATCATTTCACGTTATTTAATTCTGGTGTAAGTTTAGACAGTGGGAATCTTGAGTTTGAGGGCAGTATTTTGATAGCTTTTCACGTCCTTATCAGATAAATGTCAAATGAGTTTTATGCACACGATGCTATGTTTTCTAAGTATTGTATATACTAAACTATACTTATTTTTATTTTCTGCCATCCTTAGTGTATATTGTGAAATTTTAGTGAACGTAAAGTTTCAAGTTACCAAACAGTTAATTCTTTTTACCCTGTGTTAAGTAAAACAGTGATTTAGTAAGGAAAGTATGACTCATTTAAAGTTCTTCTTGGGAAAAGAATATGGTTTTTCAGTACTAGTGAAGGACTATTAAATGTCTCTCTTAAATTTCCCTGGAATTTATGTTTTTCTGAATCGTTTTCCTTAGGGGTCAGCATTTTAAAAATACTATAGGTAGTATTTAAAGATAGGTATAGTTTTTCTTAAATATGCTTTTTTGGTGTAGATTATATATTTCTGAGTAAATTCAATATCTAGGAATTCTTAGAATTTTATCACAAACTTATTTAGAAGTACATATGAATTAATGTTCACCTAGTCATAGAAATACGTTTTGTCTCTAGACATATGTTTTTTACTATTTGTATATTGATTTGTGCTGAGATAAAAATTGCATTATTTACAACTTTATAAACCATGATAATTTAAAGTAATCTGTGTGTGGTAAAATTGTTGATTGGAATTCTTGTGACAGGGCAGGTATAAACAAGCATTAAATAGAAAATGGACAACTATGCTGAAGTTCAGTTCAAATTCACTTAAAATTTTAAGCTTCTCAGTATAACCATGTTACTTTTAGAGGATTTGTTGATATTCGAGTAAAAAAGCTAGTGTATCAACTATAGGTGGAAAGAAAAGTATGATAAAATTCTTTTACCCAAAATTCAGTGGGATTAAGGTCAGTTTTTTAAAAGAAAGAAGAAAATAAATGGAGAATTTTTCCGTAAAAAGAGAAATTAGCAGTTTTTCTTAAAATATAAATGTGTATCTAATGTGTAAATTTTCACTTTGCATCGAATTCAAATGTCCAAGGGGAAAACACATGCCCAAATCTGTAATCTATGAAAATAGGAAATGTCCCTTAGAGGAAAAAAAACCTCTCATTTTCACAACTGGGGAGGTGCTACTGACATCTAGTGAGTATAGGCCAGGGATGCTGCTAAACATCTTACCGTAAATAGGACATCATCCCCCACAGCAGAGAATTATTCAGCTCAGGATGTCAGTTGTGTCAAGAAACCCTGGCTTAGTAGGACTTACATAGTTGGGCATACATGGTGGAGGGAAAAGAGTGTTTGTTGTGTAGACAAAGAAGGCAGTAGAAATAGAGGAGCTGACTGCTTTGGGTTATTTAGCAAACTATAGATAGTTCAGGATTGCCAAAGAATAAATTATAAGGCATGGAGTATGGAAATATGAGGCCAGAAAGCTGGGTAGAGTCGAGGTTAAGGAAGACATATATCATGTGTTTAGTTTTTGTCTTATAGGCGGTGGGGTTCCATGAAGGATTTGTAGAGTGACATGGTCAACTTTCCACTTTAGATAGGTCATTCTGGTGACAGAATGAGGATGAGTTGAGGAGAGAGCACTTGAGTCAGGGACACGAGTTAAGTATTGCAGTAGCTTAGGGAGAGAAGGTCTGAAATGGGACGAGTAGTAGAAATGGAGAGCAGAGGATAGATTAGAAAAATATTTAGGAAATAAAATTGGCAAGATATGTAATTGGATGTGAGGTAAGGGTAAGGAGAGTGTTAAGAGTGTCTTCCTGATTTCTAGTTTAGAAAATCAGGTGGCTCCTAGTATATAGGAACCCACTGGTCAGTAATTTAGGTAAGATGAGTAAGTTTAAAGGAGGAACGTAATGAGTCTTTTTTGGACATGTCAAATTTAAGAATGCCTATGGTCCAAGTAGAAATATTTAGTGTGTATATGAGTCTGAAACTTGGGGAAGTACGAAAAAGATCAAGAGATCTTTTTGTGTAACAAGTGTGGAGGAATTAGTGCTCTTTGATTTTTCTTATATTATTTCCCTCTAGATAAAATAGCCTACCTTTATTTATTTTTTGTCAGAAAAGTAATAGGTATGTACTTGATAAAATTAAAACATAAAAAGGTTATAAAATGAAAATTTTGCTCTTTTTGCCCAGACCACCCAGTCTTAGTTGCCAGAGATAGCCCTTGTTAAATATCCTATATATAGCAGTTCCCCCTTATCCATAGGGGATATATTCCAAAACCACTAATATATGTCTGAAACTGCAGATAGTACCGAACCCTATTATACAAGCATACCTTGAAGATATTGCAAGTTCGGTCCAGACCATTAAAATAAAGTCAGTCATAATCTTTTTGGTGGTGGGGGGTTTTGCCTTTGATTTGTAAAAAATGTAACATCTGTGAAGCACAATAAAATGAGATTTGCCTGTATATACTCCTTTTTCCTATATGCACATATATACCTACATGCCTTTTCACTTAAAAAAAGCACTTTATGGCTTCTCTTTGGCATATCTGAATTGCCAGCATGACTATTTTTGTGCTTTGGGGCCATTATTAAGTAAAATAAGGATGACCTGAACACAAGCAGTTGCAGATGGAAACCAGTGGATCTAATAACCAGACTACTAAGTGAGTAACGGGGAGGGGAACATATACAGCCTAGATACTTGACAAAGGGACGATTCATGTTGAATGGGACAGAGCTGGATGGCACGAGATTTCATCACACTACTCAGAACAGCACGCATTTTAAAACTTAATGAATTGTTCTGGAATATCTCATTTTATATTTTTGGACCGCAGGTAATAAACTATGGAAAGTGAAACTGGATAAGGGGGGACTACTGTATATATCTTTCCAAAATTTTTTATATATACAGAAGCATTCAAAGAGCCAATAACCAGTTATACTGTTCAGATTGTAGTGCTTTGTCTTAAAAGTAAAATTTTTTATCGTATACAGTTAAAGTGAGTGAAGTTGTGTTATGAGTGAAAATAAGTAAAAAAGGTAAAGTGGAGACTAATGGATATAGAGTATCATCATTTATGGACGTATATATACGCATATATATATATATCTATATGCATGCTGATATAGCTGTTACTTTTTTCCAAGGATACACGAGAAACAATAGTAGTTACCTTTGGGGAGAACTAGGGATAGAGGTGAGAAAGAAAACGTATTCTTTTCTGTATATATTTTTTTTAATCTATGGTTTCACTTTGGGTTTGTTTTACCTTGTTAACAAAAGATCATAATCTTTGCCATAAATGCAAAGATTTTTCTTATTAGCACATATGGATCATTGTTTTTAATAGCTGCAGAGTATTCTGTGGTGTGGATGTACCATATTTTAACTAGTTCCTTATAAACAAACCTCTTATAGCTATGGCTGCCATGAATGTCTTTCAGATTTCTCTGTGTCCATAAGAGAAATTTCTGATCATGGAATGACAGGACAAGGAATATTTATTTAAACATTTTAAAAAACATAGCCAAATTGCCCTTTCAAAAGACAGTAAGTATGTATATTGTGAGAAAGAATGTATGCTTTCCAGTTTTCTCTCATATCTGTGTCAATACTCAATGTTACTAAAATTTGTTTGCCAGTATGATAGGTTAAAAATAGTATCTCTTCATTTAATTTACCTTACTTTAATATGAGTGAAATTTGAACATCTTTGACCATTGTATTTTCTTTTTGTGAACTTTTATTTTCTTTATCTGTTTTTATATTAGTTTGATCTTTTGTCTTTTTCTTTACGATGTTTTTTGGGTTATTTTTGCTATACAGACTTTTTTGAACATTTTATACAGAAACATGCCTTTGAACCAACAGTTTTACCACCAGAAATTTATTCAGTGAATAACCTCAAAGTTTTTCTATAGTCATAGCTTTTGAGTTTGGGGGAGATCTCAATTCATGATATAAAATATAAAAAATATTTTATTCTAGTTTTGTTTTAATTTTGTTTTTTAAATATTGGAATCTTAGGAACAGTGGGAGTTTGAAAGAAAGGTAGGGATACAGCTGGTTGCTTTTTACTTTTCCCCCCAAAAGATTAAATCAGTATCATTTGTTGAATAAGCCATCTTTTTATTTGAAATGTTATGTGTATTATGTATTAAATTTCCATATGCATTTGTTTTTTTATGGATTCTTTATTTTAATCTGATAAAGACGACCAGCAATATCTTCGGGCTTACAAAGTTAGGTTAATTAACTTGCTCTTGTGAGGGAAACTGAACACCAGAGGACCTGCCAACATTTCACTAAATGAAGAAGAGATGGGGTTATAATAGGATTTTGAAGGGTGGAGTTTAGAAAAAATTTAAATGAAGCAATATTTGATAAGTTTAAACACAGCAAGACTATATGCCAAGGGGTTAATTAACATCAGACCTAGGCTAAGAAGCCAACTCA